AATTCTAGCTCTAGCCAAGTCAATTATAGACAAATTCACACTTATGTAAAACATGATATACATACATTATTCATTATAGTATTAGTTACAATAGCAAAAGGGAAAAACAAGCCTAAGTTCTGTTAACTGAGGGATACAGTAAATAAACAAAATAACTGAACATTTATAGAACACTTTAAACTCAAAAGAAAGCAGCAGCAGAATACATAAGGAGTATATCCCAACTGTAGGAGGCCACTGTTACTCAGGAACCAAAACCAGACAACAGAAGAAAACAAAATTATTATGGCTTATGTACTACAAGTATTATATGATAGGTATAGATATAAAATTAACAAACTGAATCTGTTAGCATGACAAAAAGATCACAAACCATAGCCAAATGGAATCTGTCCTAGGAGTGACAAGTTGGCTTATCGTCTGAAAACCAATTAATTAATACAACAAAACAATGTAAGATTGAAGGGATATTTCCTCACCCAGATAAACAGCCTTATAAAAATCTAAAAATGAAAAAGAAAACTCTTAGGCCAGGTGTGATGGCGCATGCCTGTAACCCCAGCACTCAAGAGGCTGAGGCAAGAGGATCTTTGGGAGTTTGAGACCAGCCTGAGATACAAAGTGAGCTTAAGGTCTGCCTAAACTGCATAGTGAGGCTGTCTCAAAAAGACAGAAAAAGAAAAGAAACTCTTGTGTAACAAGTTAAATGGTGAAAAACTGGAAGCTTTCCTTGTCAGATCATGAATAAGATAAAGATACCTTCTTTTACCATTCTTACTCTACATCATACTGTACTAGAAGGTCTACTGAGAGTAATTAGTCAAGAAAAGGAAATAAAAGCCTCCGAAGTAGATGGGAAAGAAAACTATTTCCAGATAACATTACTGTGTATAGAAAACTATAACGAATCCTAAGAAAACTATTAGAGCTAAAAGATGTAGCAAAGGATAAAATCAACTCATAAAAACCACTGTATTTCTATATATTACCAATAAGCAAACCACAAATGAAATTTTAAAACCTTATTTATAATTACACCAAAGATAAAAACTTAGCTGTGCACAGTGGCACACACCTGCAATCCGAGTACTAAGGGAGGCTGAGACAAGGGGGTCAAAAGTTCAAGTCCTGCATAGGCAAATTAGCAACACATGGTCTCCAAAATTAAAAGAAACTGGTATCAACGCAGCTCAGTGGTACCATGCTCTTGGATGTGATCCTTAGCACTGAAATTAGAAAGACATGGATGGACAGATGTATGGATGAATGGATGAAAGGACAGACAGATAGACTGACTGACTGGCACTTGCCTCAGCATGCACGAGACCCTGGGTACAATCCCCAAGTACTGCCAAAAAAGAAAACCTCGGGAATAAATGATCCAAAAAACTATGAGATTTATATACTGAAAACTATGCTGAGAGAAATTAACATGCTAGGCATGGTGGGCACACCTGAATCCCAGCACTTTGGAGGCTGAGCCAGGAGGCTCTCAGCAAGTTTGAGGCCAGCCTAAACTACACAGTGAACTACCCTTTCTCAAAAACAAAATAAATAAAAAGAATAAAGAAATTAAAGAATAAATGAAAATATACCCTATGTTCATGGATTAGAAAATTTAATACTGCTTATAAATAGCAATTGCTTCAAAGCAAATCTATATATTCCATATAATTCTAATCAAAATGGAAAAACTGACCCTACAGTTGATACATAATTTGAGACTTAGACAAAATAGTGAATGTAAAAAAAAAAAAAAAAAAAGTTGTTTATATACACTTTGTGATTTCAAAACTTACTACAAAGCTACTGTACACAAACATGGTGGTACTGGCATAGGGACAGACACATAGAATAATGGAACAGAACTGAGTGTTCAGAAATAAACACATAAAAACATAAATACTGAGCTGATTTTTAACAAGATTACCAAGATCATTCAACAGTATAAGAGCAGTTCTTTTGGCTTTTTGGGGTAGTACTAGGGATTGAACTCAGAGCCATTGCACTAAACTACATACCCAGCCTGAGGTTTTTTGTTTTTTTTTTAATTCTTTTTAAAGACAATGTCTTGCTAACTTGCCCAGGCTAGCCTTGAATTTGCCTCCTGCCTCAGCCTCCGAGAGTGTTGGGATTAATGACAGGTGTATACCATCATGTTCACTTATCAGAATAGATTTTTAAATAAGTATTGCTAAAACAACAAGATATCCATATGACAAACAATGAAACTGGATTACTACTTTAAATCATAAGCAAAACTAACTTAAATGGATCAAAAAACTTAAAACAGATCAAAGCTCTTAAGAGGAAAACAGGAATTTGTAAGTCTTCATTATATTAAATTTCACAATGGTTCTTATACCCAATACTCAAAATACATGAAACAAAAATAAAATACTGTCAAAATGGACTTCCTCACAATTTAAAATGTTAAATTTCAAAAGACACAAAAAAGTGAAAAGACAACCTACAGTTATGGAAGTGGAAAAAAAATACTTCCAATTAAAATATAGACAAAAGCTAGGGAGACAACTCAGTAGTCTAAGTGCCTGCCTCGAAAGTGACAGACCTAGGTTCAATCCTCAGTATTGTATGGCTTGCTGGCCTGCCACAAAAGCCAGGTGTGGTGGTACATGGCTTTAATCTCAGTGTTAGGGAAGCTGAGACAGGAGAATTGCTATGAGCCCAACCTTCATAGTGAGACTCTGTACCAAATAAAATAAATAAACTTTCTCCAAAGACAAGGAAAAAAAAGTCGGTAAACACACAGAGATGCTTGACATTTAATTACCAGGGAAATGCAAATAAAAACCACAGTGAGCTACAACTTTACACCTACTGATATTCATGACTATGAACAAAACAATACAAGAAACTTCTGTGAGATGTGCAGAAACTGGCTATTTTGTACAGTGTTGGGCTTGCAAAATGGTGCTGCCCCTAGAGAAAACAGTCTAGCAATTCCTGAAAAAGATCACATGGTATGTTTTCATTTATATGAAGTGTCCAAAATAGGCAACAGTGTATTTCTATAGAAACAAAAGAAGATTAATGATTGCCCAGGGTGGTAGAAAGAAGGATTGAGAGGATGAAAAAGTGTTCTAAAATTATTGTAGAAACGCATATACAACTCTGTATACCAAAAACTACTAAAAGTATAGTAAAAACCACCAAATTATACAATGTGTGAGTTATCACCATAAAGTTACACAATATAAAATATACAGGATGATTTCATCTATCAGGATATGACTAGAAGGAAGCTCAAAAGGGCTTCTGGCTGACAATGTTCTATTTTTTTCTCTTTTTTGGGGGGGGTGGGGGTGGGGGTGGGGCAGAACCAGGGATTGAACTCAGGCCCTTGCGCTTGCCAGAGAAGCACTTATTCTACTGAGCCATCTCCCTGGCCCTCTAGATGCAAAGATTTTTTTTTTTTTTCTTGATTTTAGATGGATGTTTGTGAAGATTCTTCAAGATACATAGTTGTCATATGTGATTTTTAAAATAAATGCTATGTTTCAACAAAATTTTATGGGACTTGCGTGTACAGCTCAGTAGCACAGAATGTACTTAGTATGTGCAAAGCCCTGGGTTAAATTACCAGTACTAAAAACAAATATATATGTACACACCAATATACCATGCATATATCTACTGTATGGCTAACATCTAGACTTTTTAAATGTCTAAATGAAAAACCAGCCATTCTGGGACCAGGGATTTGGCTTAGTGGCACAGTGCCTGCCTGGCAAGCATGAGAACCTGAGTTTGATTCCTGCTACCCCCACCCCGAAAGAAAAGAAAAGAAGAAAGAAAAACCGACTGACCAACCATTCTAACCTAACTCAAAAAATAAAAGTGATACCCAATATCCAGCAGGTCATGAGTAACTTGATTAGGGGAAAATATACTCAGGAGAGCCTTGTTCACAGCAATGAAATAGTACTGTCTTATAAATTAAAAAAGCTTAGGTCAGGGATGGAGCTCAGCAGCACAGCACTTGCCTGGTAAGCGTGAAGCCCAGAATTTCATTCTCAAGTTTGAGCCCAGCCTAGGCAACTTAGCCATTTATCAAGAACCTGTCTCACAATAAATAATTTTAAAAGGCTGGGGATGCAGCTCAGTACTAAAACCCTAGATTCAATCGTTAGTACAAAATAAAAGAAAAGAAGGAGAGAAAGAGAGAAATGGAAGGAGGGAGCAGGCAGGAAGGAAAGGGAGGAAAGGAAAGGGGAGGAGAGAAGGGGGAAAGTAGGGAGGAAAAGAGGGAGGAAGGAAAAAAACAAAGGGAAAGGAAAAGGAAAAATTAATTAATTCAAGGCCTAGTATCAAAACTTCAGAGTGTTATTTGTTAATAGTGATGAGAAAATAAGTCATACTAATGAACTTATAATGAAGAACACTAGACAGGGATTATTTCTGGCCCTATCACTTTCTATATAACTTCAATAATTTTTTTTTCTTGGTACTGAGGATTGAATCCAGAGCCTCACAAGTGAGTCAACATACTCTGTACTTCCCACCCCCAAAACAGTTAATTCCTAATGCCTCCTTTACATTTTCTGTCGTGAGAATATACTACTTCATGTGATTTGGGGAGAAGTAGGTAAAGTTTGATATAAAATAGCAATATTAAAAAGTGAAGGCAATATACATTGTAGTCTTTTAGTTTAAGATAAACCCAATGGGTCTTGAGAGAAATACAATATTAGGAAACTTAAGACTCAAACATGGTGGGTGACACCTGCTTGAAATACCAGCTACTTGGCAGGCTAAGGCAAGAGGATCTTGAGTTTGAGATCAGCCTGGACAACTTAGTAAGATCCCATCTTTAAAAAAAAAAAACAGTTTTTCAAAGGAAAAAAAGACCTCAATTATTCAATTTTAAAAGTATCCTAAATTTAGTCATTAGAATTTCTTACTCTGGGTATAATGACACACATCTGTAATCCCAGCACTTACAGCACTCACAAGACTAAGGAGGATCACTGTGAGTTCAAGACCAGCCTGGCCTGTATAGTAAGATCAAGTCTCAAAAAACCAAACTTAAAGGAAAAAAATTTTCAAATAATTACACAGAGTTCTTCAAAAGATATAAATTTATTTCATAATATTTGACCATTAAAAAGAATGGCCAAGTGTTAAGAGTAATGGCCTGAATAAAACAGCATGACATTTTACAATACAGTACAATGGTTATTCACCAAAAATGCTTTTATTAGAATACATAGTAGGTAGCATAATTTTATTTCTCTTTTATGTCTAAAATTTAAAATTCATAAATCAGATCTATTAATGGTATTGGAAGGAAAGGATTTATATCCCTTTCTTCATAATGGTAAACTGTAAGTCAGCCAGTACCTGAGAAGTGGCACTATCGGAACCACCTTGGTGAGACTCATCAGGAAGGCCAATAGAGCTGTTGGCAGTCAGTGAACCACTCCCTCCCAGAAATTCATCTCCTCGAACAGAATGAATGAGATCATTCAAATACTTATAATAAAGATTACTGGACAAAAAGCCAGGCAAAAAGACCTGAAAGAGAAAAGACATTATTTGAAAGTTAAAAATCAATGTTTTAAGTAAACATATCTTAAACACGTTTGCACTTCTCATCACATTGTTATTATCCTTTTATGTACATTTTACATTGTAACTAAAATTACAATATACACAATATTGTTGGGTTTTTCCATTAATACACTCACTGGTCATGAAAATTATATAGACGATATTAATACTCCTTGTGAGCAAAAAACAGTCCAAAGTAGATATAATGTGAAAATAGATTTTTCTGGTTTGTGACAAATACCAAAGTCTTTGTAAATATATTGATTTTTGCTTCTGAACTGACTTAAGATAAATTATCAAGCATGTAATTACCGTTAACCTTAACTAATATACATAGTCAGTTTATCCTTCAAAAGGATGTTGTGAATTTGTTGCTCCACAGTACTGTACATATCAAAGTATTTGTTTCCACATAAGGATTCCAAAACTAGATTTTTCCTCAAACCACTGTTAAATAAATGCTAGATGGTACCTAAATGATTTTATTTGCCGTTAGAAATTTTTGGGCCAGTCAGAGAACTCAGCGGACTAAAACACCTGCTTACACAGAGCACAGTGGCTAGGGTTCGATCCCCCATGGAACCCTGTGTGCTATGCCAGCCCCGATAACGAGGTGTACCAAGCCAGTGATTGAGACTGGGCGTGGTAGCACGTGCCTGTAATCCCAGTGCTCAGGAGGCTGAAAAACAAGAATCACTACAAGTGGGAGCTACATAGTGAGACCTTGTAGACCCTGTACCAAATACATAAAAGAAAAAAAAATTTTTTTAATGATGATAAACAAGTTCCCATGTTTATTATTTTTTCTCCCTGCCTCAGTACTGGGCATTGAATCCAGCCAAGGTTTTCATATAGTGTTATATCTCAGTCCTTTATTTTTTTATTTTGAGGCAAGGTCTTTTTAAGTTGCCCAA